GGTGGAAGACTCAAAACCTGTGAGCCTGGAAAGAGTAAGAGATCCGACTCAGGTGTCCTTGCTTTTTGCGCGATATTCAAAAGTTAAGCACTTTAACTGTATGAATCTCATTTAAATTAAGTAACATCTGAAGGAACGTCCTTCTAGAATCAACTCCCTGTAGACTTCCGGTGAGAATGCGATGCTCCAAACAGAAGTCTTTGGAGGAGCCACCGAAAGTTATACAGTCCACCCATGAATGGAAATATTTACAACCCAGCAGAACGGCGTAAAGCCGAGAACTGGGATCCCCACCGTCTTCGAGGTCGTAGAGTTCCCATGTGTCGGCGATCACGAGAGCTTATCTCTAGGCCGCTCCGCCGCACGGCGGCTCTGATGGGCGATACCCATCACCTCGAAAACCCACGCCGTGTCTAGATTTTGGCGTAGCGGCGCAACTTACCTGGGCTTCTCTTGGGGAGTAGAAGACCACCCGGATTCCAGCATCAACGAGTACTTCACGGATGATCATCAGAGATGCGTCGCCACCTCAAGATCTGCTCATCTTTCATCACAGATACAGATTATCGACCTATAATGTTTTTCAAACCTCATAAAAACTATAAAAACAAATCCAGGAGACTCGTCAACCGAATGATCTGGTTCTCTCCGATCGAACCGTCGACATGCCCCCGATGCTCTCGTAAACGGAATTGAGAAAACATGCTGGATTCGGTCACAGACTTGCCGGAGTGGTTCGGACCATGTGGTTGCTAGAAGTAATGTCGTTGTCGTCCACCTCTAGCGATTCGCGACCGTACACCCACCCATTCATATGCATGGTTCGTCATCTTAGGAAGGTCCTAGTAGGAAGCACCTGGCCAAGCTCATGGAATCTCTATTTGTCCAAGGTATAACTCGGAGTGATGAAATTCGTCTCACAAACTCCGTCATCAGCGGTGTTCGGAATTTCATCACACGTGGACAACGTTCGCTGAGATGGAGGCCTGGTATTCGCAGATTACATATGTCGAATGACAGAGATGCCTGACGTGGCGGACGTCTGTGCCCACGTCAGCTCTGCGGGAGTTCAACTCGCCGTCGCCCTCTGGGGTTTCAAGGAGGACGCCGAGCGTGTTGGATTCCACGAAGGCGCGTGACGTGTCAATAATACCATGAAGTGCAAGGCTTTTTAGTCTGTCATCTGTGATACAGAGTAACTTAAACTACCGTCATGAACACCTTGGAAGGCTGAGATTTACCACGATTTAGTTTAAGGCGTGAAAATAGCGAGAAAATAATCTAGGAAGTGGGGCTCTGACACTGCGAGCGTGGCACCTTGTCAAAAAAGCAAACATATATGCTGCTATTGCAGGAGTTGCATAATTTACAAGAAAGGTCTCGTTTTTTCATTAAAAAAAAATAAATCAATCTTAAGGTTGCTGCTTCTCTAGAGAACTTTCCTCATGTTTACTTTTAATGAGAGCTTGGAGGAAGGGCTGAAGAAAAGGATGATCATTAGGGTACAATGATGATAATGCAAGCTTCAAGGGTACTTTAAAATTTTTCATTGCAGATTATTATAAGCAATATTTCTAGTTCTTTGTTCATTGTTTTACGCCAAAAGCAGTATAGTTTCCAAGTCAAAACACGATAATATTTAATATACAGATATTAAAATGAGTGTTCTACGCGAATTATTTAGTTTATTTAGGAAAATAAGAGCAACTCTTCATAAATTTTCGTCGTGCAACAGGACGCTAGAGAATAAAATAGTTCATATAGATTTGTTTGTTGATCAGGCGTTTAGAGACCAAATCAAAGAATCAATCAAAACACTTTCTAAAGCGTAAATAAGTTTTTGGGTAAATAAAGTTCGGAAATCTAGCCCACCCTATTCTACTATCATGTGAGTTAGGGTTACGCAGTTAACGGGCGCGCGTACCACATGCTCGTCCTTGCGCCCTCACGGTGCAATGAACCTGGACCTTCCAAGTCCATCTACCCTCATAGCCCCTCAAAATGGTAAACAGTAAGCGTCCATTGGACCAGCCGGAATCAGGTATAGAATTCGTTGAGTTCTCATTATACTCGTGTGTGGTGTAATGCAAGTGTGAATAATGAAAAGAAGGGCCAGGCCGAAGTTGAGCAACCGTCACGCTAAGCTTCAGATTTCTTTCCTTTCATGGGATATAATTCTCTTGATCTGACTAACCCTGATACCCTCCACATGGATACGACGTTCCAACGACGGAGAGCTCGTCACTGAGTTATTTTCACATCAATAAATAAATACTATTAAAAGAACCCTATGAAACGAGTTGTTGTTACAACTCACCGGCGACGCGGGCCTCTTTTCCTAATATTCTCTCGGAGATCCGGTGAGAAGTTATTTTCATATAAATACCTTGCCACTTATGAAAGACACCATCAACAAGGATGTCAACTGGGCAACACCAGACGCAGTTTAAGCGTTAGGCTATAAGAGAACAAACCAAAACAGCCGAACCTTACGTATGATGCAGTTAATATAGGAAGAGCGAGAGAGAGAGAGTCGCGTGTGGGTGATCGTAGTACATGAAAATGACCACTAAACTTCTTCGCCGAGCTTGAGTTCAGGTCGCCGGTTGACACTTCTAAGGCCCGAAGGCTCCTCTGATGGTGCCAAACATGCGTATCTACCGAATCAGACAGTCTACCATCTTCTCAAAACAACAGAAACTAAAGTTGAGTCGTTTTGCTTCAATGTTTCTCCTTGACCGCATAAATCCGCCATTTTTCTGTGGGCTGGGGCGGGATTTACCACTAAATAGCCCACGATTTGGCGCAGGATCTCACCGGCGCCATTCGTTGAGGAGCTTAGCTCAAACTCCTACAAGAGAGCTCAGTCGAGCCCGTTGTCTCGCGGGAACCATTGGTGGGCTTTCGCTCACGGCGGAGTAGCCTCTGGCAGGGGTTGAAAAGCCCTCAGGCATTGGAAAACCTTCTCCGGACTCCGCGAGATGGTTTCTTTCTTTCTAATGCACATGTCGCAGGTTCAGTGCACGGTTTATCTGGTCTTCTCACACCGTCTCCTTGTTCCCCTACGAGATATTTGAAACCCTAATAGCCTCAGATGATGCTAATCACCACGTTAAACACAGGGAGCCTCGGCCATTTGTATCCCTTCTCGCACCTTCACCTGGGGCTCCTCTTCAGTGCTCTTGAGCTTATATATCATGATTCATGAACCAAAGCAAGTGGATTGACCTCGAGGATGAATGGCCGCCCCTCAACCTTGGGCTTCGCTTCGCCCACTAGTTTTCTCCACTGTTGGAGCTATGTGATCAGATCGACTGCCGTTTATGACTTGGAGGAAGCAAGATTGAATTGCCCTCAGATGACGCCCAACACCTTCGTCGCCGTTTTTTCATCAGATTTTCACAAGGTTTTCTGTTCCTCGTGCCCCCCTCCCTTTGAGGTACTGAGCATCACACAAGCGAAGAGATTCTCCAGACTGAGAACCAAAAGAACGATATGTCTGCCAAGGATGCTCAATTCTCAGTAACGAGTAAGAACTGTGGCCGATGTGAAGTGCCTGAGCATGAATATGAGAACAGATGTGTGCATTCCCCATAAGCCTCGTCTCTTCTTCAAAGTTTGTGACACTAATCTCAAGATCAGCTAAGTTCTGGGTCCTCTCAAGCCATACACTGTCACCATATGCTTTTCTTTTCTGGCATATCGCAAGGTTTCTGCATTTCAGCGTCATTCCCCGTCGGCTGATGGCTGCCATGAATGCATAGGTGACCATCTTCTGATTAAGGTTAGGTTCTGTAATTCATCAGTTTGCACCTTGATATCAAATGAGGTCGACACCACCTATTTACACCAAGAGAGAGAGAGTTGCAACCCATCCATCCATTACCTCATTGCCAAAGCTGGCCAAGGCTGGGGGTGGAGATAAGAAGCCTTGTCTGCCTATCTCTGTGTTTTGTCACGCTGCCATTGGAGTAGGGGATGCTACAATACACACATCTGCCCTCTTCAATTGGTGTCGGTGGGGAGAACGGCCGATGATGATGAAGATGCTGATGCTGATGATGCATTGGACCTGCGGGCAGGTCTACAATATACATTAAAGAGGGGGAGCAGCTGATGCGCCAGCAGGTGATGGCAGGAGAGCATATTCTCTGCAGATCCACTGGAAATGAGATATCAATCACCTGTTGGACCTGGACGTTATATCTTGCTAGAGCAAGTTACACTGCAAAACAAAAGATGAATAATCTGAATTGTCTGTTTCTTTCTGGGCACAAACTATTTCAAGTTAGTCTACTTCATCCAATATTTATTTTGTTCCTCGTTTCAAAATATGAGCCTCTTATCAGAGGGATAAACTTGTACTGATATATTTATTCACCTTGGCAGAAAAACCCTAATTATGATGATCCAGAAGCATATCCTTGAGCGGGGCTGTTCATGTTTTGTTCCTAAGTTTCATCAAACACAGTCATCAGGCAACTCAGCATCAAAAAATTAGCATAAAGGAAAGCACTGAAAGTACAATTTTCCTCCCAAGAAAACCATCTCTGACATCCAAATTGTCTCGACAGATAAAGAAAGAGGTGAGTGACGATTTCAATCAGTTCAATTCTTTTCAGGCCACCAAATCCAAGGCAATGATGCTGAGAAAAACTTGAAGAGTACCTGGAAGTGGAGTCCCCAAGCCATGAAAAATGAGGCCCCAAGCCAAAGTTGCGACCTGAGAGATCCAGAAATATTCGAGCAGAATTAAGATACATCAACCCGAGCCATTTAATTGCGACCAAGCTTAAAGAAGCAACAAAAGCATAGAAATTCTGAATGTTGCATCTTCAAACCATAATCCAGCCAAGTCTAAGAGATCTGACTTAATGCATCCTGTCATTACAGAGGTGAAGACATTCTATTTAAAACTCGGATGTCTCTCCCCGTTGTTCTACCCTCTCGTAATTACTGTGGCGGTCATAAGGCAAAACTCAATAACATGAAATGTGAAACTAAAACTCACCAATGGCACTATTTCTCGCTTGACTCCCACCAAACATGCTTCCAGATGAGATGATACGCACAGACGATGTTTTTTCCTTTACAATCTTTTCCATTTCCTCATACATGGCCAGCTTGTGCTTCATGGCACAGTTATGCATGTCTTCATCTTCAGCTGCTCTTAAGGAGAGCTGGATGAAGTCGTGAGCTAGACAGTTGTAACGCTTAGGAAGGCTGAATTTAAGATCTTCTACAGATGCACTCGCCTGAGAGATTGATGAAATGCTGCCAGCACCTCGTGTCCATCTCTTCAGGATATAAATCTCTGGAATGTATCGCAGATCGTGAAGGATGCAATTCATGATATGCCCACAAAGGATCCCAGCGAGCTCAAATTTATGGCAGCTGCAGGTTAGAATCTCTTGAGTGATGTTAACTGTAACGAGATGCTCGTGATGCCTCGAATCTTCAACTGTCAAAATATAGATAGACCCATCGAAATGCCGGTTTTTAATGAAGCATTCCAAGCCGATGTTGTACTCCGCCATGAACATTTTGAATACGGCCGGTGTGTAAACACGCGCAGCATGCTGCAGAATGGCAATGGGTGGGGCGTAAGGCAAGCTCTGTGTCATCTTGACACTGGCTTCAAGCTCCTCATTGCGTCTGGCTGCCAGTAATCTATCAAACTGGCCAAGAAAGATGAGAATATCCTTTTCACAATTCAGATATGTTCCCAGCTCTTCAGTAAGATTGTCAAAACGCCATGCGTTTTTCATTTCCGCAGAAAATGTGGTCCTCCCATATGCTGCCGCCCACTTCTCCCTCTCTTCAAACCTCTGCTGAAGCCATGTGTTCTCTGATAAACCATATTTTTGAAGCATCGCACTCCACCCTTTCAAGAAATCCGCCTCAATGTCGCTATCAAATATGCATTTCCTGAAGTCCTCATCGAAATCGGCAAACCCACTCAAGGCATGACCAAGATGCTTCAAGGCGTTTTGATACAGATGCCATGCACACAGGCGATGAGAAGAGCCGGGGAAACACAGCTCAACAGCGTCCGCTATCTCCTTGTCTCCATCAGTATAAATAGTGTCCGGCATCTTTCCACACATGGCTTCCCTGAAAGCCTTGAAGACCCATCTCAAGGAATCGGCCGTCTCGTCACACAGCAACGCAGATCCAAAGAGTACTATTTGCATGTGGTGATTAACTCCCACAAACAGTGCTAGTGGCTGTCCATAGTCGCTTGTTCTGTACATCGTGTCAAAGCACCAAACGTCTCCGAAGCGCACATAGTCCGCTTTCATCTTTCCATCGGCCCAGAAGACATTGGTGATTCGCTCATCATCGTCGAGCTGGAACGAATAAAAGAACGATGGATCTTCGGCTTGCTTACTTATGAAGTAGTCAAGTAGACGACCGGCCTCGAATCTCTGCAGAGGACTCATTCCCTTCGTTTTCAAGAAATTCCTATAATCGGCCTCTGCAGGTTGCACGACCACTTTCTTCTCAATCTTGGACTCGATCACCTTCTGCGTGATCACAAGCTCGTGATTATGAGTATTGTAAAGCTCAGAGACATGAAATTTGCCATCACTTCCGAGCTTGATCCTCATGAATGCCTTGCATCCGCATCGCGTTTCCTCTCGGTGGTACTTGGCCAATAGGTCCCCCACCTTCTGCCTGTCAACGCGAAATCCCTGCTTATTGCACAGAAATCTTCTGCTGATCGTTTCGCCAGTTATCCGACTTCGAGTTCTGGTATCCCATCGGATACAGAAGCCAACCTTTCTCCCGTATTCACTGTAGTAATCATAAGCAGCTTTCTCTGATTCAAAGGCCATGCCCACCTTGGGTTCTGGAACGGCGTGGTCACCGGTTCCACCACCATTAGACAGATCTTCACATTCACTGGGTCCGTTTACCGCTTCTTCATCAAAAGCATCAGGTCCTGGTCCCGATTCATCAGCACAGCTCTCCCCAGCGGAGTCTAGCTGAGGCTGAACGCTTTTTTCAATCGGAGAATCTTGCGGTGGTTCTTCGTCGCATTCCATCGGGTTCCCAATATTTCTAGATATGGCTTCGAAAACTGAAAGCAACAGTGATGCAAGGGATAGATAAGTCGCTCGGTGTAGCAACAAAGAGGCAATGCGAGCATTTTCGTGACATTAAAACACGAGATCTTCAGAACAATCTGCGGAATATGACCATAGAAATAAGTGGGAGAACAAGATATTATGAGCAAACAAAGCGAAGAGAAAACCGTAAAAAAAAAACAATTCAATTGAGAATCGAGAGCCTGCTCAGGAGATGATGCGCATCTCATCTCCCTATTGTTTAAGAGCGCAACAGATCACTAGAGAAGGAAAAAGCTAGAGATACAAATCCAGAAAAGAGTTCGCCAGAGAGAATCAATGTTCGAGAGCAGAGGGTGAGGTTATGCAGAAAAAATCGAGTCCAGCCCCGCCACCGCGTCCCTACGAAGTAATCCAGTCGGAGGAACTCTCAAGAGAGGATGACGGAGAACCTTCGAAATCGGAGCGACAGGAAGTAAGAAGACGAAGAGAAACCTTCTTTTCCAAGCAGAGAAGCTCAGGAGCGACCCTTCGCGCCCCAAACCCTTCAGTGCCGATGTCCGCCGCCGCCGCCGCCGACGGTGACACCGGCGCCGCCACCGAGCAACAGGAAGACGAGAAAGATCAGACAGCAGAGTCCGAGTCGTGCCCTCCTACGGCGATGTGCGCGTCAGAGAGAGAGAGAGAAGGGTAGAGAGAGAGGGGAGTAGAGAGAGAGAGAGAGAGAGGAAAAACCTAGAAAGAGGTACGCTTTGAGTTGAGCATCGACGGACGGGAAGCGTACACAGCGCATCAGACTTTTTTCTGAATCCTCTGGACAGTTTGTTGGATGAAATTTAGAGGGGGCGCGTCTAGGAGGCGGGAGAGAGAAAGAGACGGATTCCACGTGTCAGTGCCAGATGGGTGTGGGCTCTGGAGATGGGCCCAACGTCTCTGTCAGAGAAATCTGGGCCATCTAGGTCCATCGTGGCCCATTAACTCCCACTAACGATTATAAGAAAAAGAGGAGAGTAACTTTAACAAGCCGTCGGCATCAAAAATCCGAAATACGTGGATTTACATATTTTATGTGGGCCCCACATTTTAGTGAATAATAAATGCGTCCCACAAACACTGGGCTCAGCTCTCTCAGACAGATATGGGCCTCACGCATTGACTGGCCCATTCAATAATGAATGGGTCCGATGACGATTTTTTTTTTAATAAAAATGAAAAAGTGAAACTTAAAATAACGCAAGGCTTCAAAATTCGAAATATCAATCCCATTTAAATATGAGCGGATTTATACATTTTCGTTGGGCCCACATTTCAGCGAATAGTCTGGAAATAAGCTGACGGGTTTTGATAAAACGGAGTGGTGGGACCCACACTCACTGAGGGCTCATAAAACGCGTTGAACCTTAGTAGGGATATATTGCCCGCCCCCAATTCTTCGGACAAACTCTGGGCTTGGTGTCGGAGAAATGAGGTTCTCCTTGTTGTTGACTTTTTACCAGAATTCCTCCGGTCCAGCCGTGGCCTTGTAACCATCATCTCCATCACGCTTACGCTAGGATTCAGAGGCTAGTTCATCATTGGTCAACGAAGTTCTTCCCAACCGGGAAAACATGAAGTGGGCACACGACCATCAGAATCAAACCCCCCCAATCCACATCTATCCTTCCGCTTCATTAACTTTTCACCATAATTCCTCCGATCAGGAGAGCCCTGTTACCAGTGACGATAGGATTCAGAGGGTAGTGCATCATTGGTCAACGAATCTCGCTTCCCAATCAGGAAATGTGAAATGGAATCAATTCCCCAGCAGTTCTTGATATATATAAATATATATATATATATAATGTCTTTCACTTCGTTGACTTTCTTTACCCGCTATGGGAATGCGGAAATTCTATGGGAGTTTCTCTACAAGTCGAGAATGGTCTGCTGCACAGATAGGGCGCCGCCTCTTCTTCCCCCACGAGCATTGGTATCTACGTAGGCTGTAATGTACACATATCACCCTCCCTCCCTCCCTCTCTGAGGGAAGCGAATTTAAAGAAGAAAAAAAAAAAGGGAAAATAAAAAATATATCCAAAATAGGGAACAAGAGTGTCCTCCTGTGTCCTAGTAAGAAGGAGAGACCGAGGAGCAAGCGGAAGAATCAGCGAAATAAAAGCGGAATTAACTCACCTGAGGGATGAATGGTCGGATGTTACCGATATTCTGCACCACTGCGATCCTCAGGCCCGGTTTGAGAGCCACTCTTCTTCATTATTTCCTCACATGACCTGTGGAGACGACGCAGAAGAACACTCTTAGGACGAAGGAAGTGAGAGAGAGAGGGAGGGAGGGAGAGAGAGGGGGAGAACTTACGCGTCTAAGGACTCTATCTGGCTTTTAATGTCGGCTGACCACAGGACAGGGTCAACGTTTCTGGGCAACAACTCCTGCAGCTGGGTCTTCTCCCTCAGCCACTGCTCAGCTCTGCTGCATTCTTTGAGCACCTGCAATGCCGAGAAAGTGGTCAGATGCTGAAAGGATAGTTAGTAGCAACTCTGGAGGGATAGTTAATAGCGCATGAGGAGGAGGCTTTACTGCATCTCTGCAGCAAATTGAAGAGGACTGAACAGCCATCCTGTAGTCAACAATACAGTTCAAAAACTCCCTCACTTCCTGCGCTCTGGCTTCCTCCTCCTTGAACCTCATCTCAATGGGGTCTACAAGCTATTTTGTTGACAGGAAGAGAGACAGAGAGACCCAGAGAAATTAGAAGACCTGATGTAATACAATGCATGTTAAGATAGAGAGAGAGAGAGAGAGAGAGAGAGAGAGAGAGAGAGATAGAGAGAGAGAACCCTTTTTAATTCCTCAATTTTGTTGGTGTAGACGTCTTCGGATTCATTGTCCCCATCATCATATAGCCAGTCTTCCGTATGCTGGAGGTTTCTAGAAATCTCTTGTCTCTCTGAATCGCTGGCAAAGCTTCGGTACTCGTCAAAAAGCTGTTGCAAAGTGGGGGGTAACAGGTAAGAGTTAGAACAGTCTCCACCTTTAGGGCTAATATCTTGTGGCTCATATCCGATCAGATCAGTCAGGAGAAAATGATTGCATAAACTGAAATTTCACAAGGGCCATACCTTGTTACGCATCTCATATACATACGCCTCCACGGCATTCTTCTTGTCCTTGGTTCGTTCTACCATTCTGTCATGATTCTCCAGGTGGAGTTCCTGTGCTTGAGCATCTGATAGCTCTGCCCTGGTCATCCCACCATACACAGTCTCTGCAACAGGGATCTCAAGTCTTCTCGACGACCGATGCACTCTGCTTCCATCAGCCTGCACAGAAAGACAATCTCCCGTTTCATCTCCTACTAACTCCCTTTCATGGTGTAAATAACTGTACAACAAGGCAATGGGCGTAAGCCGAGTATAGCAACCATGCACACTGTTATTGATATATGAAACAATTTAGAGGCAAAAGAATTAGTAAGAGCCATGGTTTTGTTATTATTATTAAGAACATTAAATAGTAATACACCGTTGTGATCTCAACCTGCATCTCTCAAAAGGGTATCGGACAGTGTAGGTGATACTTCTCAGGATTTTGAGCCAATATACTGCAAGATAATTATGTATATATTATGGTTATTCATTGTCATCAGAAGGATCTGAAATCCCTACCAAACACGCAACGACCAGAACTATATTTAAGATCCCCAACACCTCGAACCCACAACATGGAAGGAAAGAGAAAGGCATCAATATGAACAGACCACTCATCTTCATTCTTCCTAAATTTCCATGCACTTCTCTAAAGGGGACTTCTATCATTCATACTGTGTTCGGCCTTTTTCCTCACGCACAAACTAACGCTGGTTTGCTTCCACTAGTTCCCAGGTGACTCCTGGAGGGAGGGAGAGCACTAAACCAGGTTCTTGTGCAGCTGAGTCTCTGAAGTTTAGAACAAAACATTCCCATGGCAAGACCTCGAATAATTGACAGGATTATTTCCCCATTTCTTCATTTCCTGGAAAACATGTTCGCAGTCATTGACAGCAGCTGTTTGCATCAGAGATTATTTCGTCTCCATTACCCCCATGATATTACACGGCATACCAAGGTTCTTCCAGATAGATCAACATGAATTTTCAAGTCCTTCTACATGTATACTATTTCCTAGATATATTAAATATTCATACCGAAACGAAGATTTCTTCAGCATAAATTTTTTAAAATGTGTCATTGATTTTACAGTAGGTGGTAGAATCCTTTGTAAACTCAACTTATGAACAGGTGGAACTACATTATACTCTATGTATACCACCAGAGAGCATGGGCCCCTAGCTGGTTTGAAGCAGGTGAATCCAACGTGGCACTTGATAACATCAACCAGTGTAATGCGCTAATGTTCCAGAAACAACGACATTTAATCCTCTGGAAGAAATGCACGTTAAGAAAAAAAGTTATACAGAAATCCTCCAAGGCAAAAAAACCTACGGAACAAAAATATCACATGGCAGCCGGCAATTAACCATTTTATAGAAAAGGTACATCAGAAACACGTGGAGGAGATTCATATCAGGAAATAACAATCGGAAGTTACATGCAAAAAAAGAGGGTTGAAAGGGAGAACAACACTTGGTATACAATACTTGGTAGAACTTACAGGAGGGTGTAGTCCAGATTCATGCTGTGAAAAGTTACCATTTTCAACATTACTAGCTTGTGCATCAGGTGCTACAGGAATAAACTCAGGTTCTGTACCTTCCACAGCTGAGAAATTTGATGCCCTCAGGACCGGATCGTTCACATCATCTTCAATGAACTAAGTGGTAGAAACAATTAGTCATGATAATGTACAAATGGAATCCGTGTTTAGTAACCATTGAGAAAAAAATATATAGCAATATCCACTTACTGATGCTGATTCAACGGTAACAATACCATGAAGATTTAATCGCATCCTAACCTTAACTTTATGCTTTTCATGATGTGAACCTTGGAAAGGTCCAATCTGCATAAATAAGAGATCCACGTTTAAATTTGTCTCTGAACAAAAAGAAACACTGAATGCATCCTTGGTAACTGATACCTGACCAGCATAAAACTGATAAACTTTTTTCGTAATATTGCATTCAACTCATATTTGTTTAAGATGAAAAGTAGTTTGATACGAGACAGATATGACAAAACGTATAATCAGACGTTAACTGTAACAAGGCGCAGCAATGGTCCCTGGCAAAGGCAACCTGTTAACTGATAAAATCTTTTTTCAGCATTCAGCATCGGCAACTCTACATTCGAGTGCACATAGCATCAAGTCCATCTTCTCAACTATGAACTTTATCCCTTTGAGTTAATGATTTAGTGTAGGACAAAAGATCATAAAAATAGTCATAGCCCATATTCTAAGTTGTTGGAGAAAGAAGCCACCGAGTTTATAGAAAGATATCATTCCCTAGCCACATGAAAACTCCGAAATCCAATTCGGCCATAGAATTAGGCTGCGAATCCATGAAGATACTAACTAGAGTCACATAGTATGTTTTCACTGATTAAAAAATGCCTTGTATGTTTATATGTCAGGTTCAAATTTTAAATGATACTGGATTTAATGTAACTAAAAGTAAAGTCCTTATTCTCCATCAAAGAAAACATTGTGTCAAGTTCATTTGTGACATTCTATGAAGTGTCCCGAACAAAATTATGGACAGTAACTTATTTCATGGGCAGGTTTCATATGCAACACAAGCATTTCGTCAAAAAGTCCGGGGATTGAAAATATAAATGCCTTTTTTAATCAGAGAATAGCAAGGCTAGCTCAATAGAGACCAACAAGGAAATCAGATAGACACATCCTTTGCATAATATGTTTCCAGGTCTATTGTTTCTTGCTTCCTTTTCTTTAATTAAATAACTGTATGATTCAATGAATAATGATTATGCTTACTGAACAATTTAAAATGTGAATATAGATATACCATAAAAGAGAAAACGAAATGCTTAAAAACCAGCCACATTGACAGTAGAATTTCCGCACACAAAAATGAGATGGCATGTATAGCGTAAAAAGGCATGTATAGCATAAAATCTTTACCAAGGATCAATATTCTCAGGTGATTAGTATTCTTTACAATGAATTTATCATTATAATAAAATTTGTATAAAGTAATTGGTATAGAATTATCTTGACAAATCCTAACAACATCCTAACCTCTGCTGAGAATCAACATTAGTAATTCTTGAATGTTCCAAGCCAAAGGTGGCAACTATATCAGGCTTACGCATACAGTGATCCACAGTGAACAATGCAGAATTTACATCCTTAACAAAGACTAAGACATCTCAAACGAACGCACAATGTATGTTTTTTCCACCAATGTTTGCGCCCTCATGTTAGATTCCTTCGATTACCTTTCCTTTTGGCTTGAAAAATTTACTCCCATAGAGAATACCGGACGCACTAGATCTCAAGCATTATATTGGCAAGCTACAACACCAACTATATCTTTTGTGCATAGATCTATTAAGCATTCTACTTCGATTTGCATCCTTAAACATCAGTTGTATAGAAATATTGACTAACCAGAGTTTTCCACAAGATAAAAAATACTCTACAAGCTCTCAATGGTTATACGATGAGGATCATGTCTCTGGAGGCAAAGTCCAATCTTCATTTTGACTGAATAAGTTAAACACCAATTTCGATTTTAAACGTAAGATTCCCTTTTTCTAAGGGTATATGTGACAACAGAAGCTGCAACATGAAGTAGCAATAAGAAAAAGATGTAGTTAATAATTTTTCCTCTACTCTTCTCTATTTTTTCCTCATCTCTTGTTATTTAGCATGGAATTTCAGTTATTGTTGCCCATGTTTCTTCCTTAAAAAAAAGGGATTCAGCCTAGCCCTGAATCATCCTATATCGAGTGAGGCCAGCCAAATTCTCAATTTCCTCTCTAATGATTAAGGATGTATTTATTAATCCCGACTGAATAAGAAATACACAACTGCAAAAAGAATCATCATATTTGGCCTAGAATTGACTGATCAGCCAGTCATGTTTGTAGATTGATAGTTTATATTGCATACTTGAGATCGATCCTAGGAATTTCACAGTAAACTACAGTGAAACAGCTACAGGCCTTTTCTCTCTTTTAGGTGGATCTTCTTCCTTAAATAGTGTTGCTTCATATCCCTGTGATAAAAGAAATTCAGGATCCAAGGACTTTCTGGCTCTATGGCGTCACTCTATAAACCTTTATCATAGGCCATTATTTTACCCAGTATGGTTGATATCATCTCTGGTTAGCCATGCAAACTTTAAGGCTTTTCGTACCGAACCCATGTATAGTAAGTTTTCCAAGAAAAAGCCAATGAAAAACGTACAAAGAATTCACATCCTAAGCATCCTACCGCTACTCATCTAAACCTTGGTAGAACGTAAAAATCTAAAACTCCATAGGAGCCCCACAACTTGGTCTTTCACACATTATGAGGAGATCTGAAAGCGAGATTATTTCTAACCAGCAGTTGGAACGACGTGAGGCCAAAAGTGCATTTAAATCTACATAAATGTGATAGTCTTTTAGGGTTTCTCATCTTTCACAGAGAAACGGTTTGTCAAGCAGGCAAATATAAGATGACTAGTTTTTACTTTTTGTAGGAAAAATCTCCTATTTCTTCTCGTTTTGAGATTCAGCTGACCAACAATCAGCTAAATCGAACCATAAAAACCCATATGCTCCCTTCTCACTCCATTTGTCTCCTTTTGGTGCCCGATGGCACTGTTACATTCAATTCCTAAGGTCTCCCTTTGTATCTCTGCACAACAGAAAAATCAGCTTCTACGTATTGTTAGGCAGTAAGAAATTATTTTTTCCTGCGAAATGGTTTAAAAAAAAGGCTTTGAATCAAGAAATGGTGGACCGTACATAAGTGAAGAAGACAGAATTATTCTTTAACTACACAGACAATAGCACAATATAAAAAACAAAAGATACTTGCCAACTCTATTTGTCACACAAAATAGGACAAAGGGACAACGACCCATAATAGGGAAAAAAACTCTCGATTTTTTAGTTTCCAGTACCAAGTCCTCTCACGAAGTATACGACCTTGTGATCAGCCCATGTACTCAAGAAATGATGACAGAAACGCTGAGGAGATACCGTTCGAACTCCCATTGATTTATTTCCCACCAATCATCACAAAAAAGGAAATAGGTTGATTGACCTCAAATGCTCTGTACTTAAGCTCGAAAAAGATGTTCAGTCCACACACAGAAACAGTGAAATGCCATTAAATTTCTAATATAAAATATCAATAGTCTATCACGAGGAGTATCCAAATATCACCCTCTCTGTTGAGAGGAAGGATAGGCTTCGAAGGGAAGACCAAAGGAGTACCCCTTCGAAACACAGTAAACAAGAAAAGCAGCAAGCAGCAGCACAAGCTAAGTTATCCTTCCTCTCAACTCTGCTATTGTCTCAAGATTAAAATGAGCAACAACTTGATATATATCTGGATCTCTAGCGTGTCCTACTTGTTTCCGCAAAATGAGGACAAGAAAGTTGGCACACAAACCTAGTAGCATTTTGAAAAGAAATGTTGTGTTTACATAGCGACAATATACAAAAGAAGGTAACATACTTTCTATTAGATAATATTGTCTATCAGCTTCTAACGCATGTGAAGGCATACCGTAAAATGGCTAATCTTGTCAGAGACACCAGGAGGGAGCTCACTTTGATCAGCATAAAATGCTTCCAGATGAAATGTGTTATTTCGATGAAAAGTAAGCATTTTAACACTTGGAATTGGTTGGCCTCTTGGAAAAATTACATTCCGAGACAATGGGTATGCAGCACCCTCACCCGTTGAGAAACCAACAGAGAAAGAAAATGAATCTTGAACCTGAAGTAAACAAAAGCAAGTAATTAGAACTAGATTATATCAGCACATAATGACCAAGGATGCAATGTGAAATAGCTATCTGCTTGAAATAATCAAAGATTATAATATGTACCAATTAAAATCATGCAAAAAAACCCATCTAACAAGGCAAGTTTCCACTTTATTTATTTGACACAGTCAAAAAGGACAAGAACCTGTATATTTTGAAATTGAGCCAAAAAAGCAACCAAGGTTCTGGTAAAACTTCATACTTCATATGCATGTTTGCTATATCTACAGCGTAGTCTGACCATAGCCTCTGTACGTTGCCTTCAAATTTGATCTGCTAATAATTACGGACCGTTTATTTTGATTAAGTCACAAGGAATAAAAACCCAGACTACACAAATTCAGTCCCCATAATTAATTTTCCACCATTTTATGAGATAAAATCTTGCAAAAAATAATTATTGAACAAACACAAGAATTCTAAAGCACTGCGGATCCTCCACCACAAATCATTGCACAAAGTATTAAGGCCACCTGTGACAAGGTAGCTTACCCAATTGTCAGTGAAATAGCAAACTAAATCATTATTTGATGAAATGGGAGAAGCAAGGATAATCAGTCTGTCCCCATAACCTGAGGTAGATTCTAAATCTAGTGCTAGAAACTAAGCAAAAACCATGGTCTCTTGACCTCAAAACATGCCTCAGTTGAACAAGTTCACATGAGGGAACCTCTTTTAGACATAACTTGTCACAGAATCTAGTATTGCTCAACTACTATCTGAATGTTTGATTTTGATGAAAAGAATCAGCCTGAAAAATCAACCATTCTTCCTGAAATCCACCTCCAGTTATGCATAGAGTGGTGCCTATATTGCCTGGGGTCCAAAAGTTGCCTTTTAAAAGATCTCCTTTCAAGCATGATGAGAATATTCTAATAATGATCCAGCTTATTATCCTCATCACATAAGAAGCAGACAGTTGTAATCCCCTCTGTGAAATAAGTAGTTGACAGTTGGGAAACCTCATTCATGACGGTCACTAAAACTATACATTTAGTAGGGAGAGCATGTGCTCTAAGCAGAACATGCCGAGGAACACCTTCCTCTGACATCTAATACGAATACGGAAGCATATTTTACAGATAATCTGCCGTTAATCCCCCAATCTCAATGCTTATGTCCTCCAGTAGAACAGAAGCCATATCCTCCAGATTAAGCAGAAGATTTCTGAGCCAGCCCTTTCCACATTGAGGTCCCTTCGGAATGTAGACTTCAACCAACTTCATCCCTACATCCCCATAAGATGCTGTGATGGAAAAACGACTATTACACCGTCGTAATCACACCTTCTGTCTGACAAGGATTTGTTCCTACGTCCATCATGAAGCCTGACAGATAAACCCATTTATATCACATCACCTACATAAGTAATTTTTTTAGACGAAAATAGCCAGATTGAAAATAATATTTACTAGTAATGAGATAAAAGCCATCTACTTGATCATAGAGGACCAGAACCACCTAAAATGGATTCTCTGTCATTCTTAGCATTCTTAACCTTCCTCTTTCCTTTCAGTCATTCATACATTTCAAAACTCACACATATGATAATGGTGAATAACTTTGTTAAAAATATCTAAAAGTATTACTCCGGAAAAAAAACGATGGAAAAATTAAGTCAAGATAAACAAATTATGATCAAAATGCTTTCAACTTTGTACTTTAAACGAAAAAACACGACTCCAACAGAACTAAACATCTGTGCGAAGCTCATTAAAACAACTGATGAAAATGAATGACTGAACTCTCTTGTTTTCTCTGGGAGGATTAGAAGAGTAGTGAATTCATTTCATGCTTAGGCTCCCCTTAAGACTTGGAAAGAGGATAAAGGGTACATGAATTAAATCAAAATTATGAATAAAGCATGCGTCTCTACCAATCGAGCAACTAGCATAGATAAAAAAATATTTACCGGCGTACCTCATAATCTCTCACTCTGAAAGTTGGGCTAAGCATAGCACATTGAAGCGCACAACCCCGAGCAACACACTCACTGGCATTCAGTGTCCGGCTGGGCTCTCTCCCGAAGAGACTTGACAACAACCTTGTTATAGCTGGTACCCGTGATCCTGATCCAACAAGTTCCACGGAGTGGACCCTATCCAGACTCAAACCTGCGTCAAATAAGGCTTTCTCGCATGGCACCAGAATCCTCTCCAGTAGGTCAGACGACAGCCTCTCAAATTCCTCCCTCTTTATGAAACCCCTAACGTCTTTCTCGTCCATCAAACACTCAATATTGAGCGGAGCCTCCGCGTTAGCACTGAGAACCTTCTTAAGCTTCTCACACGCCGCCCTCAATCTAATGCTAGCACGGAGATTGGAGTGCACATCCATATTGTATTGTTCCTTGAACTGCTTCGAAAAGTATTTGAAAAGCACCTCGTCGAAATCCCTCCCTCCAAGGTTCGCGTCGGACGCATGTGAGAGAATCCTCATCTGCCCGACCTCGAACTCGGCAACCGCCACCTGCGTGTCGCAGTGTCCAATGTCAACGAAGACAACGCATGTGGCGCGTCCGCCGCCCGCAGCTGATGTGAACTGAGGTTCCATTCGGTAGATACCGTACCCGAGTGCCGTAGCGGCAACATCATGCATCAATCGCAGCGGCCTCAGGCCGGCAACTGCCGCCGCATCAAGGTACGCCCTCCGCTGTAGGTCAGTGGCATAAGACGGGATCCCGATAACGCAATCTGACACAGGCCCTTCAAGTGCCATCTCTGCGATCTGCTTCAAATGAGACAGCAGCATAGCCAGAATCTGCACCGGTGTGAACACCATCTCCTGATTCAGATACCTAACGCACACGAGCACCCCACCATCAGGGGCCTCCGAGGCTGGGAAGGGGAGGCGGCGGAGCTCCTCCTGCACCGACGGGTCACGGAAGGCGCGACCAATCAGTCGCTTGACCTGGGAGACGGTGGACCTGGGGTTCATGGTGGCGGACGCCTCGCCGGCGGCCCCGATGGCCCGCTGCTTCTCCCCGAAAGACACCACCGCCGGCGTCTCGCGGCTGGACTCGCCATTGAGCAACACGTCGATCCCCCGCTGCCTGGTGGCGGCGATGACCAGGTTCTCATTCCCGACGTCGAATCCCACCACGCTCATCTCCCCAGTCAGTGGCGCCCCGCTCGAAACCTAGAATTCAGCTTCCTCTGGGCCAGGGGTGCAAGGAAGGAGATCCGCAGTTCCGGCCGGCGGCGAACTAAGGAAGAGGCTGAGATGCACAGAGCGACGGAGGGGAGGAGGGAAGATGTCGACTGAGCGGAGGAAAAAGGAAAATGGGGTTGAGGGTGCCCATCATTTTGGACCTGTTGGCGCTCTAACCATCGTCTGGGGCCCACGCTACGTCATCACAAAGCTTCTGGAAGGTGCTCCCCTCACTCTGGGCCCGAGCCCGGGCCCAGGCCCGAAAGAAACAGGTTCAGGCACAGTTCGGGCTTTCCAGGGTGGCGGGCCCAGCCCATTAATGGCATTGTTTTTGTATATCGAGTTTGTGGCCCACACTCACAAGAAGTTGACCACGACTCACCACTTGACCCTCTATCACAGCCCCACCGGCAGATGAAGAGGTCAAAGCCAAAGTCAAAGGTTCACACCGCCTCTGTAGTGGGTGGGGCAGTCAAAGGTTCCCACCCCTACCACAGGCCTTTGCCTAACACCCAGGCGCTATGTCCACCAGGGTTTCTCCTTCTTAGAAAGCTAGAGTAGGATCCAAATTGTAATCAAAAGAAGAAAGGAAAGATCAAGAAGAGACAAGAGAAAGTAGATGGAAGAAGAAAAGAAACTTAGAACCACAGTTGCTTAGTTAGAGAGAGAGAGAGAGAGAGAGAGAAAACTAATTCAATCACCTTTTATATATTTACTTACACGTAAATATGTGTATGGGCAATTTTGGACCTTCTTTGGTAGTTCCAATGGATGAGAAGTAGTTGGAGCCATGGTGGTGGTGGTGACTTCAGGTCTTGGGAAAGGATGTGCGACTTCAATCTCCTCATCTATCAGACAGTAGTCTCTCATTGTCGACAAGATCTCTATCAGTCTAGTACCTAAAGAGGCAAGAACCTATTGTTGACTTCTCACTACTGTCTGATAGATGAATTGCAGCACAATATCAATAGAGAGGATGAATTGATTATATCTGATTATTATATAAAAATCAAAATCTCTATATAATTATATTATAGATAAATTATCAGCATAGTTGCACACCACAGTTTATAGTGGTTTAGTCTCCCTTGACCTACCTTTAATTTTGTGTGACTTTGTCCTTGCTTTGCATCATTTCCCTCATAGTTTGCATGCTTACTTATAAGTTCAACTATTTACTTATATTATATTTTAACATTTAGTTTCAAAGTTGATAGCATCAACATTTTAATATTAGAGTCGAGTTCTTTTCTTTGTTAAGTCCATTTTCTAAAGATGTCAGTGTCAAAGTTTGAGGTTGAAAATTTTGATAAGAAAAATGATTTTAGCCTATGACAAAAGAGAATGAAGATAATTATTATCTTAAAGACTCTACAAAGCTCCTTATGATAGAGAAACATTAGAAAAATTAATTATGAAGATTAGTATGAGTAAAATGCAAAATAGTATAATATAGTTGTGTCTAATTGATGATGTGATGTAAAGCATTATTAATATATAAAAAACTTCAATCTATGAAATAAATTAAAAATAATGTATCTATCAAAGTTTCATAGAAATAAGATATATTTAAATAAAAAATGATATAGCTTATTTATGAGTGAACAAGCAAAAATATTATAACATATGTGAATGCTTTTAGCAAGTTGATCTCAAAACTTTGCAATTTCTAGGTCAAGGTGAAGGAAAAGATTAAATTATGCTTCTTATCTTGTCTTTATTTCAATTATATGACCACTTGATGTCTATCATTCTATGTGCTAAAGAAACATAAAACACGGCAGATGTTAATTATATCTTATTATCAAATGATGTTAACAAGTGATGAATCAAGAAAGAGGACCAGAAAAATAAATTCTAATAAAAAATATTCACGATCAAAGTAGAAAAGTCTTCATGACACACGAGGTCATTATAAGTCAAACTGTGTTACACTAAAGAAAACAAAAATAGCGAGAAACTATGTGAAAGTTAGTGTTATATCTAAATGGGAAGCACAAAGAGGCATTCTACTCGTCTCCCTTAGCTAGAATAACTCCAATGTTAGAATTGACAACTTAAACTATTTTGATGATGTGAAAGGATAATTATTAAACTCACATAAAACAAAATTATGAAATTGACAGCACAACTTCAGGCTCAAATAAATCACTAACAAATCCTTTTATGGGATTGATATCTCCTAGTTTATCATGAATTAAATATTAATTTAGATTCAAATGAGCCATACTCATCTAATGCCATAATAACATTGAGTAAGATAATCTTTTTGTAACATGATTTAAATTTCAGAAACAAGCTTGTAAATACTATTTTGACAGTCAAGTGAAAAAGAATTCAACATATTAATCAATTCAAGAAAATAACGTGGTTTGATGTTAGTTTTAGATAATCTGCTAGTATTTTTATTGCACATATTTTTCAAGCGCCACCAATTAGAGTTCAAAGTCGTTGCCCCCTTAGGCCCAGCCCAATCAGGCCTAAGGGCATAGTCTATTAACATGTTACTGTTAAGTCTCAAAGTCCCCTCATGTTAAGAGAGAGCCACTGAGGCCCAAGCTGCACTACGTCCGAACTCTCAAAGAGCATTTACAGAGATGGACCAACTCATTAAGCATGAGTAAAAAAAGGGGGTGTTTCCTCCAAAATAGAGTGAGGGATCAAACGAGGAATCAAGGGAAATTAAATACATGATTTTCTCCTCTTTTGCCTCTTCCTACTGCTCACACAAAGGAAACTTGTTAAAAGGTCAACGCCATAGGCTTCTTTGTCCATGAGAAATCTCAAGCAGTTCATCTTCAACTTGGATGCCTTTAATTGAGTTAATCTCATCCCCAAAACTTGACAACTTCATGTAATCTTGCACAATGTCATAGAGTATTTGATTATTTTATTTAATATGTTGAGTACACCTTTTATGTGTCTATAATGGGGTATATAAGTTGTTATAAATCTTTTAAATCTAGTGGGATAGATAGATTTGTTGATTCTATGTTATGAAAGTTACTAGAGATCATTGAAATCTAGTGGGGTAAAATAGACTCATAAAGCCTATATTACAAAAGAGTTATGATCCTAATGTAATCAGTTGTAATCATGAGTGAATAGTGGAACCCAATGAAATAGCTCATTTCTTGAGTCAAAAGAAAAAAAAAATCTAAAGGACAACTATTTAAGGCAACTTATCATATCTTATTTTAATCATAATTAAAAATAATAATTAATGATACATAATTATATAGAACAAGTTAAAATATATTCAATCCCCTCCCCCTTCTATATTCTCCTATATAGTTATCTAGGAACCAATATTTGAAACTTGAATTTTTCATTTAGGTTGTTTTAAATATATCTCCCTTTCAAGATTAATTTAACACATACAAACCTCATGAAATATATATAGTTATGGTGAGAAATAGTACATGTACAACATATAGAACAGTTAGGATAAGAAAAAAAGAATCAAGATAGTCATTAGAGTAATTATAACTCTAATAGATGTAAATAATGTATTAGATCAGAGGAAAAGTTTATTCTCCATAAGTACCTTTGATGTCAATGGTTGTAGCTATGTTAGTGACAATAGAAAAATAAAAATTAATGTTTTAGTTTGTTAGGAAGAGAAAATTGAGTCACTAAATAAATTATATAGGACAATTATATCTATGGATGTAACCATCACATCTTAGAAGATGAAAATGTAAATATGTTGTGGCGTTTTGGCTCAACTACATGAGTTAGCAAAGCATGTTAACATTGCACAATGAAAAACTCAATAGAATTACATCTTGTAAATTTAGGTTCTGTAAATTTTTCTTTTGCCAAATAGTACAAGGTTAAGTTTACTACTTAATCTAAGATAAGCAATTATATTCTTGCGTATGTCTATCCAAACATCAAGGATATATCTCTAGTCACTTCATTGAGGTGAGATTAATATTTCTTACATCCATAACTTCTTTAGAAAAGTTTACTACTTTTCTAGTCACTTTTCTAGGATATATCTCTAGTTACTTCATTGAGGTTAAGCTTACTACTTTTATCAATGACTTCTTTAGAAAAGTTTGAAAATATTTTTTAAATGTAAAATCAATTTTTTTATATACTTTCAAACTTTGGAAAACGAAAGTTAAGAAACATATCAGTAAGAAAGTTAATATATTACAAATTGATAATTGAGGCAAGTATATTTGAAAATATTTTGATAAACTTGTTGTTAAAAAAATGCATAGTTTGTCATTAGATTATTTCACAAATAACACAATAAAATATAATAGCTGAAAATAAAAATAAGATATTACTTGAGAGAGATCACTACATGAGATTATTTGTATGACTATAAAAACAATTTTGGGCTGAGTTTGTTAGCATATCTCATTAGTTGATAAATCAATTAACTTCTAAAAATTAAAATTCAAGACACTAAAAGAGAAATAAAAATGTCACCAAAGTTTTTATATTCTCTTTATTTTCTTTTTCTTATTTCTTCTCATGTTACAATATTTCAGGACCCAACAAAAGATAGCCAACACCAAACGGAATAAATAAAAATTAATGGTTAAATATTGAAGACATATTAATTACATCTAAATCTGTAGGTAAGACTACTAAATTGAAATTTTAACTTAATTTATAATTTAAGATGAAATACCCTAGTAGTATTAATAAGTTGTTAGGCATGGGAATTCAAAGATAAAAGTGCAACAAACGATTGTGATTGCCATAGAAAGGTCCAAATGAGAAATCGTTATCCAAATTCAATATGATGAAAGCCAAGTTAGTGTACACTTTTGATTATTTTTTTAGTAATATCTTAAATTTAAGAAAGAATATCAAGAGATGCCCATGTTATGCAAATACAGTTGGCTATCTCATGTAGACAATGATTTCCACTAGGCTTGATTTATTCCAAATCATCATTGTTCTTAGCAGATATATGACAAATCGAAGAAAAAATTAATATAATAAATAAGATAGATTTTACACTATCTTATGGGTACATCAAATTATCATTTTTTATGTTAATAAATTGAATTTAATATTCCTAATATATATATTAAATGAAAAAATGCTAATAACCTTGATAAGAGAAGATTTACCACATGATACAATTTATTTTCTAGAAAAGGGTCCCATTATTTGTTAGACAATGCTCCAAAATATTATCACACATTGAGCTATAGATGTCAAGTGCATTACTACAGCTGAGGTGGCAAATGAAGCATTATGGTTGAGGTGTTTAGTGAACTATCTAGGCATCAATCAAATTATTCTACTTCTACATTGTAACAATCAAAGAACAATTTATATGGAAAAACACACTCATTTAATCATTCAATAATAAATCATATTGGCATTAAATTTTAAAAATTATGTGAACAACAATAGCTAATTAGTGATATACTATCTATGTGGTTGGGATAAAACCTCCTAAATCTAAACGAAAAGAACTAGTTTCACTATGCTTTAGATCTCTCCACTATCAAGAGAGGGTGGCAACTCGTTTGATCTATTACGAGTTGACTTTTGATGGTTAGAACTTCACTGGGGACTTGATCTCACATGATGTTTACCATACTTAACAAAGCATGTGGCTACATATAGTATTGTGTGAAATGGAGCCACCACAACTAGATGAGTGTAGTTGCATGCAATGTTGTGTGGAACAACTTCAGAAAGATGATGAAACATAGTGGTAGCTCAACATCAGAGCACAACATAGAGGAGGGATGCACTAGTCAATGCTTAATAATGTCAACATGAGGACATTCATAGAACTAGTGGAAGAGGATGCTCGTAGAACAGTCAAGTGATGATGCTTTTGAAATGACCATGATAGGACACTCATGGGAAGGTCACAAGGTGTGCTGCAAGCTAGGAAGCATGCAGCTACATGACATGTTTCTAGATGTAAGGCACAGTGCAGCCAAGGCAACACATGTGAGGAGACTCATTGTGTGACATAGAGAGATCCAAGAGTCCATATGTGTGGAGAATGATCATCCCAGATCTACACAAAATACATGGATATGAGTCCATAGTGGGTAAAAGATCCAAGAGGGCAACTGCCCCAAAGTAGAATTTGAATTAGGAGCAATTATGTCTTTTGTCCTTAAGTGGTCGCCCTAACCCCAAGTTATAAATATGGGGTGACCCTGTTAATTTTAAGTGGGAAGAATATTGAGCAATGTTCTCCCCCCCCACCCCTTTAGGGACTTTCCAAAGGTCCGCCCCAGAAGGAAGTGCCACTCTAATACTCAACAAGTGGTATCATAGCTGTTGGTCTTAATAGAGGTCAATATCACTTGCCCGATGTGCCACCACCATGTCTTGCGATGATCTCCTTCCCTCTAATTTTCTCCAAGCCCCTACCTCCTCATGTCATGTTTCAATTCTTCAGGAGTTTAAGCACGCAGTAAACAATCAAAATCTAGGATTTGCGAAGAAGAGGCTTTCCAACCTCTAGAAACCAAGCCAAAGATCATGTGATTTTGGAGAAACTATGAAACTTTAGTCTATTGAGAGTGCTTATTAAAAGTTAAAACTTTAGGGCTTGCCGTGAAAAGTCCTTACAAAGCTCATCTGGCCTCCAAAATCAAGGATGAATGTCCATAGAAACTAAAAAGGCTTGCGTTTGTTGGTAGTCGGTACCCTAAGTTGAAGGTCGAGTTACTTCTATTGAAATAGATTTTCCTCCTCATGCGACATGGATAATAAAGACCGAAGAGTATTCAGGAAGCCATTTTTTCTCGGGATCAATGAGCAGGTGAGACTTGTCTAGGCTGGCCCAATTTTTCTCGGGCCACAGAGTATTTAGGAAAGGAAAGTAAGGTCCGGCGCTTCGTGGAACCAAATCGATAATATAAATTAAAAATAATAAATTAAATGATCAACAATAATTTGTACATTTCATCTTTGTTAGTTGGAAATTTACAAAAATATACATGCTGCAACTCCTAAGATCATTTATCACTCCACAGTGATTCATATGGCATCCTACCTCTCTCTCTCTCCCTCTCTCTCAGATAGGCTGTAAAGAAGGTCGGCTTCAAAAGAATCTGGTTCATTGGCTACATGAGAGTGTTTTGTCTGAGGCCAGGCTCGTTGAGTCCGGGTTAACTTAGTTCCGTGCATAGTTGGTTGTTCATGTATGACAGTGAAAGGCTCGGCTGGGACTCTTGTCCCAGCAGCCAAGAAGACAAAGAGGCGCTGAATCCTGGATTTTCTTATCAGCAATGAGCAGCCTTTGTTTGTCTTTAAGCAATTGACTTGTCAACACCGCACTCGCGTCACAAGGTTTGCATTCGTTGACCGAATAGATCAGCCGGCCTCACACACGAGCTCCCCCGAGTAGGTCCTTTCTTTCTCGACTTGACTCGCCCTCCCGAAGGAGACGACTGCGATCTGAAGGAGACAGCTCCGATTTTTTTACGCGCCATCACTCTCTGTAGGCTCTTCTCCAGCCAATACCATCTTCCGAAGGACACAACCCCAATTAGATCACTCGTCGTCTCTCTCTCTTTGGCTTCTTCACTGCTCACTAAACACTCCCCGAGGAGACAATTCAAATTAGCCTACTCGTCTCTGTCTACATCTCTCTCTCTCTCTCTCTCTCTCTCTCTCTCTCTCTCTCTCTCTCTCTCTCTCTCTCTCTCTCTCTCGCTGTGGGTTATTTTCCACTCAATAAACTCTCCCGAAGAAGACCGGTCCGATTAGGCTGCTTCCCTCTTGCCCTTTTTGGCCTTTATCTCTCTCTCTCTCTCTCTCTCTCTCTCTCTCTCTCTCTCTGGGTTCTCATCCACACAAGACATAGACAGCTCCGTCTAGCTCACTCGCAGCCTCTCCTTCTCTCTTCATCTTCAATCTATATCTCTCTTCGATTAGTTTACAAGCCATTTCCGCATGAAATCCTCCATTATTGCTCCCCACTTGCAGAGGGCTGAGAGCAGCTGCAAGGGCCCGCTGTTTGGTGATGAACGGCGTGATGCAACCCGGCAGGGCCCCGCAATCACGCGTGCGTCAGGTCACTACGCATGCACGTCCCGCCGCCGTTCAATTATCCCCGGCTCCTTATGATAATGGTTTCTTCAGATGCCGGACGCCAATGGAATAAACAAGTGCATTATAGACCTCCCGACGGCCACCAATCGTCACCAGGGCACGATGGATGTGCCAAATATTAAATGATGCCATATACTTTCTTAAGAACACGAATCTCTGCAGTTTATGTTCTAGGAAGATTCAACTGAGATGTTCTGGATAGCTAACCGCTTCGACGAGGGCTGCATACCGTCGAGCCCTCAGCAGTCAACAGTGTAGTCATTCTTGGCTTATTTGCATTGAAGATTTGCCGGGTTTAATGCCAAAAGGTCGACGACACCAAAGGACTGGCAACTAGATATAAATAGATATATATATATTATCTTATTTATGTTATATTTATATTGTATTATATATATCCCCTTCTATATATATATATAGATATATCTTCCATGGGTAGTTCGAAAAACTTTTTTACGATTATACCTGGTACGAATTGTTGACCAAGTAAGTTTATGGTCCGCTCAGCATTCAACTGGATTACATTCCAACTGGATTACATTCAGCTGATGGGCACTAGTCACAAGATAGTAATAATTTCTGGACATTAGCAGGGTGGTCAATCCAAGTCCGTCGTTTCCGCCGAAGATGAACTCCCGAGCCTACAACAGCGGATCTGGATTTTAATATTAGAAAGTTTCGTTTTGGGAAACGTGCTCTCTCCGATGCGTGCAATATAAACTCATCATCCAAAAAACAATTTATAAAGAAAACTTGCTCCCAGGTGGTTATTCTTCAAGGAAGAACGCCTATAAAAACCATGCGCACATTGCTCCTGTGCAGATGCAAACTCCTCTCTCTCTCTCTCTCTCTCTCTCTCTCTCCGCCCCCTCGTCTATCTGTATTTATATTTCACGGTAAGAGATGTATCTGTGTGCGGCTATCTCTGAGGCAATCTGCAGCTCAAGGGCTGTAGGCTCATATGAGAGGTATAAGAGATTAGAGGAGGACCCAGAAGAAAGACGGCGCCTGCAGACGAAGTTCCTCATCTACAAGACGCTGGCGAAGGCGGACGCGGTGGCGAGGAGGAGACCGCCGTTCTTCTCGGGACTGAGGCTGCGCCGGCTGCAGATAAAGGTTGGGCGACGGCTAAGGCGACTGAGGCGGAGCATATTGGTGGCAGTCTCCGGTGCCCGGACGTCTCTGAGAAAGCGACTTGGAGGGAGGCTGGAGAAATGGAGGCTCTCCAACGGTCGGAAGATCGCCCTTCCTCCAGTCTTCTGTTGATTGATCGTCGTAAGACGGGTTCTCTCTCTCTCTCTCTCTCTCTCTCTCTCTCTCTCTCTCTCTCTCTTTATGTATGTATTTTTACCCTTGTAATAGGCACCAAGTTGCTCTAAAGAAGCCGAAGTTGATGTCTGGCCTGGCTGGTGTGGAATTAAGGTGACGATGAGCTAATACGGCTCCTTTGGAGGGGGCCAGCAGGCGTGGGGGAGGAGGGTTTACCACGCCGTATGTATTTCTGCCGCATGTATTAGTTACCACGTTACTCTAAAGAAGCCGAAGTTGAACTCTGCCCCGTGCTAAATTAGGTAATGATGAGCTAATACAGCTTCTTTGGAGGGAGCCCGCAAGCGCGGGGGCGGGGTAAGGGTTCATCAACGACAAGAGGGCGAGGTTTCGATCGCCGCCGTGGAGCAGCGGCCGGAGGGGGCTGCCCTGTAGAGGAAGGTGGACGTGGTGGCAAAGGCCGAGGGGCTCTGTAGAGTTAGACAGGATGGGAGAGGATATAGAACCCTACGGGCGAGACAGAAAGAGAGAAGGAAAGCACCCCCAGGGTCGGGAATAACTGCTCAAGTTCTGGTTATTTTCATTAGGAATATAAAATTCTACCTGGGAAAGGCAACTACAACGTTTGCTTGCCCAACACAATCGAATTAAAGCCTTTGATTACACCCTCTAATAAATCATGATAAGAGTTGAATGATTTCTCAAAAATCAGGAGAAATACTACCCTCACGATTCATATTCCTAAATAATATACATAGTAAAATGCCATTCTAATGTTCTATTTCATCATTTTATATGCATATTTGATTATTCTTTTCCTCACATCCACGCTTTTACATCAATCTCACTGAGCATGGATTTTCTTGGTGAATTTATAGTTGATTCAACCACATTGAAGGAACTAAAAATCATCAAAAAGTATGAATTAAGTATATATTTTGGTTTTAAAATGTCTCATTTAAAATAGATACTGCATTGCTTTTGGTTTTAATAGTTTTTCCTGCAGTTCCTTGGACATTCTTTTAGAAGCTAAACCCTTGTTTGATATTTAGAGGCAATCAAAATGCTTTTGGATCACAATTTTGGTCATGATGATCTTGATTTTTCATAGATGTCAACTGCTCATCCTTGACAATTTCAATTCCTAGAACAATACTACAATGCAGTATCTACATTTGAATTAATTTTGTGAGTCATTTTAAGCCTTGAGTGATTTATGGCTTTGAAACATAGCTACCAGATAGAAAAATACTATTTTTCTATGGGAAAATTATTTTTGATCATTATTGACATCAATAATATAATTCACTCATGAATATTGACATAAGTTAAACAAAAAAAATAACCATCCCACGTAGCCACATAAAAGTTTTATGCCTGCAAAATGAAATATCTCATTTACAAGTACCTACATATATGGATCAAATGGTCAGTACATATAATAAATTAGGTAGTTTTACACTCTTTTTTAGGAGCCCAAACCAATGAAAAGTTTGGCATGCCATCTAGAAACATCAACACCTTTGCACAATCAAGGAAAAAGGCAATGAGCAGCAATAATTACATAGCAAAGAGCCAACACCATAACATTGTTATTTGACTAAAGTATTTACATATGAATTTAAAGTTTCAATAATTAAGCTCAGAAATAATATCTCCAGCATTGTTACTGAATTTTCTGAAAGAAAAACTGAAAAGCTATTGGAGGGGAAAATTTGGAAGTTTCAACAATTCATTTTCCTACACCCTTTAAGCAATTTCTCTACCTCACTCCAAAGGTCTTGGTCCATTTTGTGCTTAAATAATATTATACAAGTTTAATCACATGTTATCAAAATTAAAATAAAGGATTTTTTGTGCTTTAAGGCTTACATGCATTAAAGGCTGAGCTTGAACCTTGGAAAATCTTTCTATGTGGAAGATAGTAAAAACCAGTCAAAATACAAAATAATCCTTAAGAGTAAAAAGCTTACAGATTGAGCTAAATCATGTATATTTTTGTAACACCAGATTTATTTTAAGTCAAGTGATAGATTTGAGTAATTCAACCTCCCTCCCTACCCACCTTGCTTTCATATTATTAAATTGATGGTTGAATTATTTAGGTAACTACATGGGACTTATATATTACATTGGATAAGTTCTAGCTTGTTCACTTAAAAAAAATTACAATTTTAAGCCCACTTATGCGTTAATGGTGTGAAAAAAAATTGAGAAGTTTTTAAGATAAGGTCCATTTGGTAATTTAGAGTGGGCAGGTCATATCTCTTAATCCATATGATGCTTATTTGACAAGTTTAACTAATGGTACCTACTCATTTCACAACTAACGAAATAAAATCCCATTTCCTTATTTTTGGGATAAAGTTAACTTGCAACATCATGGAATCAAGCAAATTATTATACATATTGAATTAAATTTCTTTCATATAAGGATGAAAATCATTTCATGGGTCTAATTAAGAATGTGTTAACTTTTAGAACATTATAATTTTCATGATGACAAACTAGTTATAAAAGGAAAATAGTAATTTTCTATTGGCATAATTATATTGAGATATCACAAAACATTGGCAGAATACCATCCCAACTCTTAGAATAGTCCCACATGATTTCATAATTGATTGCATGATTGACAGTGTATCTTTTTGTTTTCAATACAAAGAGTTGGCAAACTTGATGATTCAACCTAATTTGGTGAGTTTTATACTCGTAGCTTTATACTCACTACAAATTAATGATAAGATACTTTTGAATATGAAATGCCTCACTAATTCAACCAAAACATTGTAGATGAGAACAAGGATCAAAATTTAAGAGAATGTATTAAAGGCTAAAATGGTGGTTCTATATTAAGGTATATGTGAACTACCTAAACAATATTTTATTGTGCTGCAAATTATCTAATCATATTTATAGATTTAATGCTACTTTTTACTGCAATATTTTTATTTTCTATACAACGTTAAATGATTCAATTCAAGTTTCCTTGAGAGAGAAAATAGTTAAAATACATGACACAATAGGAGAAAATAATGAAAAAATGCTATATTAACCTTCCAACTAGTTGTTGAAGACCATTTTCCCAACCATCTTTTGAGTTTATAAGTATCCAAAAATCAGACAAATTCAATCACTGAACAAGAAATGTCATTTTTAATATTGAGTTGATCAGTTAAATGTTAATCTCATTGCTCACCTAGAGCCATGAATCTAAAAGAACTATTTTTTAGGAAACACTTTGATTGGATAGAGTTGTAAATTCGAGCCAAAATATAAGTATTTGTGTTTAACCTTTGTATCACATTGATTTAATATAAACCTATGGACAAAGAGTAGAGCATACAAGATGGGCTGAATCACTAAAAATTTAACTAGAATATTTAGATTAAAAGTCTAAGAGGCTAATTCATCTCCCCTCTTGATTTCTCTTCTAGCCCCTTTAAAATTATTATAGTGATGATTTAACTTTTCAACAAGTTGCCACCTAGATTAAAACCAACATTAACAAAATGCAAGTTAATAACTTGAACCTTATAAATCTAATATGTAGTAAGAATGCACAAACCTATGTCAATAGTATTGGTATTATTGGTCTAGGCGAAACACTAAGAGGGGAGATGAATTAGAATTTCTGCCTATTTTTAATTAAGGCTAGAACTATGTGTATGTGTTGCAATAACTTTCACCACACTTATATTTTCATAAGATTTCTCAACTCTCCTTCATGAAGAACCCTAAGATTTTATATTAGTTCACCCATCACTCAGCCACTTATAGTCCTAGAGAGAACTTCCCTTTAGTATTTATTAATTCTTTCAAAAATTACACACTAATTTTCACAGGATCAACCACACAAATATCCCAAGTTCGTCTCCTCAAACTCAGCCCTTCTCACATCAAATACAACTGTCATTACCTTGTGACTTCATCCAAATCTTTTTTTCTCACCACTGAATTTCCTTAGGGTTTGATGGAGATACGAACTCATGATGGTGCAGTCCATTGTTTTACCATAATGAGCTAGGGAAGATGATGCAGCATTCTTGCACATTGTTGATGCATACGGCTGAAAGGGCTTGATTGTGTGGCTAAAATCTATGTATGCTTAACTAGTTTTCAATGTAAAACCCTTCTCCCATAAGTGCCTTCATCTTCTAGTAGTTTCCTAATTTTACAAAATCTCCAATTTTCGAGAATCATGTTCAAAAATTTCTTGTTTCCCAGAAAGTGCAGTAATAATTTTTTAGCCTTCCATTCTTTGAATCTCATTTTTCCTTCATCCTTTTTCGTTAAAATTTGAACTAAAATTTTCTAACTTGAAGAAGAACAGATGGACGTCAAGTCAGAACAAAATCATCAAGATTACTATCTTGTCCACATAAGTAGCTAACATGTAACCATTGAGATGTCCTAGTTGAAACTTAAATTTCTCTTTTATTTTCTTATTTTCTTGATGATTTAATCAATGTGAGATATTAGGGAACCTTTCAATCATTATTTCAAAATGATAAATACTACATAATATAGTTACAAAAACATATAATCAAATATAGTATAATTCAGAACATTTGCTTATAACCATTTAACCATATAATTATCCTTTCATTTGAAGATGATTTTTCAGCTGATATTCTTTGTTGATCAGATATTCCTAAAGTGAAGAGTCATTTAATCACAAGGATTAATACATTGGATTCAATTTTTAGTAGTAAGATCATAAGATCATTAAAGATAATCATATAATAATCATGCCGCATGGATTGAACATATATTTGCGACATATGAAATAACCATCAAGATATAATAATCACTTTATCAATAATTTTTTCAACTGTAATTATCAAAATCAAGGCCATTAACAAATGAGTTCTGGCCCATTAAAAAGAGGCATTAACGTAGAGTTTAAATAATATAAATTAGCTTAGAGTTCACAAGACAGCCCACAATGATACTCATTTTTTTTCTGAAAGAGGAAAACTAGGAAGCATAGGTTT